ACTGAGAAATGAAAAAAAAGAAGAAAATAAATAACTGGGCTATGCTGTGACTTAATGAGGAACAGGCATAATCTGTCACACTGATGTCCAAATGAGGCATCAGATTAGCTATTATTGCATTAAAAACAATGAATGCAGTGATTTAATTAAAAAAATGCTCAACTCCAAACCAGATTCAACTGCAGCTGAACGTTAGCTACACCCAAACCCAGCTCACACTGCCACCAGGGAACCACTGCTCCCTTTACACTGCTTTAAAATCTGATTGGTTACACGCCCACAAACTTAACCTTTTTTTTTTCTGTAGTGCTTAACGTAGAGTGAGAAATCAAGAGCCCACTTTCTGCTGCTGTTCAACATTATTACCATATATAATAGGGGTTATTCATCGTCCACTATATATTACTATAATTTATATATATATACAATGCAATTTATATGATACATACATATATAGACATATAGATAAATTAGTGTGTAGTATATATACACATATATATATATTGTACATACATATACACACATATACAAGTAGATATATAGATGGAGTAACATGAATAGATCGATGTGTACGTATGTAAACATTTACAGATCTAATCTTTTCCATTCATTCGCCAGGGACTAACAAAACCTCACTGTACTTCTTTTTCCTCAGTCCCCTCCACTAGCCCCTCCCTCCCCCATCTTACATCTGCGATTCATTGACTTTACAATTTACCACATGTCGAGATGGGAGAGGTCGAGCCTCCATCTGAATCACGGCACAAATATGCAAGTGATTTATTGTTTTAAAATCCCCGGGCTGATTTGGTGCAACTCCACTTTTCCTGAGCATTACTTCTATTGGCAGACCATGAACAATTACAGTTCGTACTAATTAAGCACAGAGAATGTGCTGTGCACCGCTTAATGTCTCGCAGGCCTCAATTTTAGTTTAATGGTGCCAAACTTTTGCTTCCTAGCTCCCACCATTACCACCCCTCCAACTTAACTCCTCAAATCCAAAGCAGATTGTACTTTTTTATGACTGTTTATTGAGTCGAAGAAAAAAAAAACAAGACTCTTTCTCTTTCTCCCATCTCCAAGCATAGGATGAAAGAAGTAAAAACAGCAGCAGCAGAAGAGATAGAGACGGAGGGAACGAGCGACAGAGAACAGAGAGAGGGAGACAGCGAGAGACAGAGAGCACAAAAAAAGAGTAGTGGGAGGTAGAGAGAAAGTGCAAGAGCCGCTTCCGCCATACTTTGTAAACAAAAGTGATTTGCAAGACAAAAGGTGCACAACCTTCTGACTAAATTCAGAGTCCATTTTGCAGCTAGAGGCACAGAGTGCAGCCGCGCCGCGCCATGGAACCCCCCACGGACACCAATTAGGCCCTATTAACATGTAAAGCCAATTTGATAAGGTGTGGGCTGTATCCCATAAATCCGTATTAAACTATCTTTCCTCTTGTCACTGCCAAAAATCCATTTACAGCGGCCCAAACACACATAATCCATATGATATACCATTGTTATGCTTATTCTGCTGCCACTTTCAGGAAAGATGCTGTGTGTCTGTGTAAATCACAACAGATAAGGCCACAGCGACGCATGCACGCGAGCACAAAGGGGCTACTATCGCACTGGTTTCTGCATGTTCATTACAATAATCTGAGCGGATACCCCCCGCCCCCAAATTTCTTTTTCTAGAATTAAAAAAAATAAAAATAAAGGAAGGAGTTACTTAGTACGAGAGTGGGCGTTTCTTAAAGGTAAAGATGCTGCAACATGAGCTCGCTAACACAACTGAAACAAAAGAGGAAAAAAGGGGGAAAAGCTATTGTTTCAACAACACAAAGCCTTTCCACTCTCTTTGACTAGAATCGCCACAGGTTCTGAGAGCATCTTTTTTCACTCTAAACACAGCAGTGATGCAGGCTGTTGCATTTTCAACCCCACACTTTTAAAACACACACACACACACACACACACACACACACACCATTCTTGTTCTTTTTAAACCACTGGTAATTATACATCGAAACTCAAAACCTTCGCCAAAAGTCTCCAGGCCTGGAGAATTATGGGGCCAGGGGTGGCGTCAAATATCTTAACATTCATAAGTCCGAGAGGCAGTAAATAAAGCCAGTGGATTTACGGCCCTACAGACCCATTGCAGGAGAGCTGGCTGCCCAGATCCCATTCTCCCCCCCTCAGCCTCAGCCTCAGCCTCAGCCTCAGCGTCTCCAGACCTGTTGAGGTGTGATGTTAGCCCACAGCACCGGAGTTAACCCATCGCCTTTTTTCACACAAGCTCTGCGTTAGCATCGGCAGGAAACAAAAGGTAGATCGAGGGAGGATGGGAGGTAAGAGAGGAAAGTGAAAGAAGACAAGCTGAGGTGAACTGGCCAGGCCACTTCTCCAGTTCAACCTACACACACTCTGATCCACAGGCCTTTGTGTGAGCTTCAGGGAGGAGGGAGAGGAGACGAGAGCGAGGAGCTTTTAAAGCCCGGGCACAGCGTCATGTCAAATTGCTAAATGATCCTAAATTGTGAGCCTCCCTGGACTTCCGTGGTAGGAAAAACAAATTCTTAATGTTTATGGCTCCCAGAGGTTCAACAAATTATAGTAACAGCCACATGATGGCATTTTGCCCCAACATCATAAAATAAATAAATAACAGAATCAAGGTAAGCCTAAGGTTCAGTGCCAAATAATTACATCACATTTACATTAATCACAATTTGCTAATTATTATTTAATTGATTAAATTGAAAGTGCTCATTTCAACTAATGTACAAGTAATTCGGAAATGTACATAAACTTAAAGGCCAGGGCGTTAAAATACAACGATATAAATAAATAAAATTACAGCACAGTATGGAATAAATAGGTGTGGGAGGAGGGAAAAAAATGAAGGGAAAAGCAGCTACATGTAGAATCTAAGCCGTTCGTGACAAGACAATGGAAATTCTCTACGAAATAATACTCTGTCATATTTTAGCGCCTATCATGACATGTTAGGAAGAAAGACAGCTAATCAATGTCCAACTGAATTATTTATGTCAGTTTTAAGTCAAATACATTTATATTACAGCAACCGCTGACTTCAAAGATCTGATGGTTGGACACACAGAGCGCTGCAGACAGTGGGGGCCGAGGCTGTGCAGCAAGACGAACATTGCAAACTGAATGGCACGCTTATCCAGGTAAATCTGTGAATTACGGTGTTATAAATCACACCAAAACTGACTTTGGGATTTAATCTGGGCTAAAGGTGATTTTAACTTCAAAGAAAATATAAAGGGAATATGTGTACAAAAATTTTTAATTCGTAATTTTTTTTCATATCTTAAAATATTTATTGGAATTATTTATCTTTGGAAATAAGAGAGCAAAGTTCAGCACTGCCTCACTACATTATCCCGCAGCCACACCATGTCGTTTTCTGCTTTGTAACTATAGCATAAGCACAATAAAATCCCCGCTTCACGGAGCAGAACACAGGATGTAGTAATGGGAGAAAAGTAAAACCTTTCTGACACTGAAACAAGTTGCTTTACTTTAAAATCCTGTGTGTTGTTCTGAATGCGTGTCTGCCAGCAATGGTGAGAAAACAAAACAAAATGAGGCTAATTCCACATACCAGCCAAAAGCATTAACAAGGCAGCCTGACCGAGAGGACAAGAATGGCAAATGTTCTCACATGGGCATATGCCGAGAGTGAGAGTGAAAATAAAAAACAAACAGTTATTTTAACTCGCACAATCACACGATCATAATCATTTTTTTGTGAAAAACCCCAGGTGATCTCGTTGAACTTGTGAGCAGAAATTGTGTCAAACACAATAGAAGGCATTATGTGTCAGGTGTGCATTTATTTTCAAGGTGTGCACAAAAAATAGAGGTAACAAATATCAGTTTCGTTAGCGAGGGCTGAGGTGGTGGGGTGGAAGGGTCATATTTCCTAATGCCTGGTCTTTGCCTTAACCTTGTAAAATGAGATGACAGGTCCTGAAGCACAGACTTGTAATTGGGAGCGTTTAAAATAGGGGGGCAGAGAGGCAACCATGGTTGGAAAAAAAAAAAGATTATACTGCTTAAGGATCGCCATTGCCCACTGGGACTAGTGAGGTGCTAAGCAAATGAGTGAGTGTGCATAATTAAAAGCATGGCTGATTGTGTTTAAATAAATAGCAGGAAATTATTTATAATATAGGTTTACATCGCACAATGCAGTTTAATTATTCCATGAAAATCAAAGCCGGTGCACCTGCAGAGAGGTTCTATGCAACGCATCGCAGCTTTAAAAAACACTATTTTAAAATTAGACCAGTTAGAAAAAAAAGTAAGGCAAAAAAAAAAATCAGTTAAATTTTTAATGTGTGTCCCTTTCACATAATGTGTTTACACAATTTGACACATGCAAATGAATGAGGAAGGCACATCTGCATATTGATTTTTTTTTTCCCTTTTCAATTTGTGTGTATTTAAATTAGTTTATACAGCACTGGGTGCGTTAACAGGCAGCCGGTGTACAAGTGTGTATTAGAAAAAAGGGCATTTTTGATGAGGCCGTGCAGAGAGCAGCCAGATGCATTAAACAGGGGCAGACACATGCAAATGGAGCGGTGACGATAACAGACTACTACTAATAATAAGAATAATATTGATAATATTATTATTAATAATAATAATATACAAAAATATGCCAATTGGCCTGCCATTAAAGCGTGGTGTCCTTTTTGATTTTACTGACTCACAGAACAGTTAGCAGGTTAGCAGCTGCAGGCGGACATGCAGCGTGCCACTGTAGTGTACACTTCACGGGGAGTAGGAAAACTTGGCTCTGCGTGTTTTCTTTTTCTGCCTTTTGTCGGCTGCCCTTCTGGGTGACAACACAGTGGGTGTGAGTGCAACAGTGTGTGCTCGCCCTTCCACGCAGTGCGTGTATT